TAGGTGCCTCTCGTGCCCCTCAGTCCTTTGAGCTCCTGCCATTCTGGTCAGCCTGAGTGAAGGAGGGTAACCCTTCCTCACCCGTGTGACTGCCACAGCTTCTGCAGTGCTCCCCTCTGCCAGCCCTCCTTTCCCATCTGACCAAGTGACACCCTCCCCAGAGCAGCGTGCGCCTCCCAGCCACAGCTACAATTTGCTCCTTCCCTGGGCGGTTGCTGCACGGAGGCCTGCTTCTCTTTCCTGCAATCTGTAAGCTCCTTGGGCACAGGGACTGTGAGCTTTCTTACTCACTTCCATGTCTCTGGAGCACATCCAGGTGCTTGGTACATACTAGCTACTCGGTTCCCATTTACTGAATGAATGAAGACATGCCATCGCTGTTTATCATCGTGAAAGATGGGGGGCCCTCGTTAAATAAATTATGGTCCACGCATGCTCGTAAGACCACGCAGCTCTTTCAAACAATGAGGCAGGTCTGTAGTTACTGATGTGGAAGGTCAGCCATGATAGATTTTGAGTAAGAAAGCGACCACAAAAAACAATGACAGAACAATTCTTAAGATAAGTCATGGTTGTCAAATCAAAGCCATAATTTTAATATAAAAATACACTTGAGTGGGAAGAAATGAAGGACAACAGCAAATGGTTATCAGTACTCAGTGCTTGGCAGTAAGACTGGGGGAGTGAGAGAAGTAATTTATTTGTATTTTATAATAAATTTATCAAATTTTATATCGGGTGAATGTCCTCTTTTTATGCATATATATATATGTTATTTTTGTAATTCAAAACATGTTTTTAAAGAACCCAAGAAAGGCATAAAAACATCCAAGGAGGGGAGGCTCGTTCCCTGACGCCCATCACCGCCCACTCTTTCTGCCCTCGTGATCCGTATGTGCTTGACTCAGCCGCCTGGCCCCAGACCTGCAGCCCACCCTCCCACCTGCTCCCCACCTTCTCCCCTACACCTTGCCCTTTCACCTGTGTCTGCATCCTTGGGCCACCTTCCCAGAGTGTGTGATTCATTTGTAAAGTCAGGAAGGGTAAGGCTGTCTGAGCTGTCATGAACTTCAAGTCACTTTACGTTGGTGACTTTCCCTCCCCAGCTGAAATGCAGGCTCTCTGAGAAGGAAAGAAACTGATATGTTCAAAAATGGAACTCCTAAGACCTAGCAGGCCTGTCTACACGGTGGAGCCCATCACCTCTTCACCAGCGTCTGGTGAGTCATTCTTTCCATCTCCACCTTACACAACACTAAGCTCAGAGAGCTTGTTAGTTGCTCGGTGCCTCACAGCAAGGACTGGAGCAGAGTTCTGACCCGCTGTCGCTCCTAGCTCTGTGCCACGGTACCCGGCGGGGGGGGGGGGGAGGGGGGGCAATGTGCCATCCCCCCCTGTGTACCTCCTCTCTCAGTTCCTCCGAGACAGTAAGCGCCAGATAAATGTTCATATAATGATGGAAGTGGTTTATCCTTCATCCAGCATGTTCATTAGATAGATAGGCTTTGTATTCATGTTCCATTAAAGCTCCATCTCCTCAAAGCTTAAAATAGAATTGGAAATTTGCTATGTTTGACCTGTTTTCTTCCATTAGCATAATTTATCAAATTAGGGAACTGAGAAGCAATGAGACTGGAGAAGAGTCAGCCCACGCAGTCTCAGGACCGGATCAGCCAGAGGTACCATTAAGAGCACAGAGTCCCAGGGGCAGTGGAGGGGTGGGGGCTGAAGATGGCTTAGAACTGGAGGCAGGAAAGAGCAAATAAATCATTTCCGTCATGGCCCGGTGGGAAAAGGCTAGACTTCACGGAGGCCACCTCAACTTAGATCCCAGCTCGACTGCTCACTTCTGGGAATCTGAGTCAAACCAGTTTAGTAGGGGGGCCTCCGTTTTCTCCTCTAAAGGCTGAGATGCTACAAGCCTCATTAAGGTGGCAGCATTCGTTTTAAGAAGATGATGTATGTGACCCTTGTTTGTAGGGAACCCAAACAGAAAGGTGTTGGCGATGTTCCACGTGACTGTTCTACTGACACGACTTTGAATTCTTTCCTTTGGATATAACATTCTCAGTTTGAAAGATGAGACGTTACCAACTTGCTTTAAACACTGTAGAGGTGGGGGACCATCTTTACGTTCCCCCGTCTCCTAAGACCTGGAATGGTATCTTGCCAATGATAGATACTCAGAGAGCATCTGATGAAGGAATGAATCGGACTCATAGCTGCTCAAGCAATGGTCTGTAAACAGTAGCACTTTCTATATACCATGTTCCCTGGCTCTCCTCCTGGGCCATCCATGGGTGCTACCCATCTGATGGCAAGCCATGTGGAGGTGATAAAATAGATAGGAGGAGATAAACAAAAAGTAGTCTTCAAACTAGTGTTTCAAACTAGTAAATAAAAGCAAAAGTAACAAGGAAGCAATAACAGGGATGATCCTGGTCAAATGAGTCTTTTAAACACAATGTACATGTGCACATACACACACACACACATTGTAGAGTCACTCTAATTGGTGATATATCTAAAGAAAGTAAGAGTTTGGGGTTGGGACCTTAAAATTAAATGTTTCCTCTATGTGCATGCATGCATGTTTGTGTGTGTGTGTGTGTGTGTGTGTGTTCTTTCTCCAGGTCTCAGTAAATATGCTTTTTTATCCACAGGGGGCAATGCACATACTGTCCATTTCTATCTGCAGCTCTTCATTGCTCTTGGTAGCCCAAGCTCTGCTCAGGGTCAAGATGAGATGGTTTGGTGGTAGCAGAAAAAAATTGAGAAGAATGTATATACTTTCCAACCACTGGAACTTGTGTATGGTGCCTTATTTGGAGACAGGGCCTTTAAAGATGTAATTACATTAAGAATTTTGAGATGAGATCATCCTGGATTTTCTATGGGGCCATAAATCTGAGGACCAGCATCCTAATAATAAAAGGGCAGATGGAGATACAAGATAGACAGAAGAGGAGGGCAGAGGCACAGATCTGCTTGATGTGTCTGTAGGAAAAACATGCCAAGGAATGCTAAGGGTCATCGGCAGTCACTAGAAGCTAGAAGAGAGGCGTGAGGACCAGACTCATCCCAGAGCCTAGGAAGGTAGTATGATTCTGCCAACACCATGATAGCAGACTTCTGGACTCCAGAATTATGAAAAAATAAATTTCTATTGTTTTAAGTTACTTGCTTTGGGGTAATTAGTTACAGCAGCCCTATGAAACTAGTATAAGACTGCAATGCTATCTTCTCAAAAATGCTCAGTATGGAGGATCTCACATGAACACCCAAGCCTGACTCCAATCTTCAGTGGTGAAAAGGCTCTGAAAGTGCTAGCCAGCTTCGCTGGGCTTAGCAGTCTCAGAGTACCCACCCAGGGTTCTCCAGGCTCCGTGACTCTCCATCAGAGCTCTGCCTCTTTGCATTATCATAGATCCAATATCACCTTCCCCAGATGTGATTAGCTGCGCTCTCACACTCCAGCTCTTAAGGATGTTAGGTACAATTTCTCACCTGCCCAAGTTCAAAGTTCCTCGATATTTCTGCATGATGGTATATTGATCCTAGTTCTGAGAACACAGGGCTTGTGTTTGTACCTCAATGTCTCACCACATTTAAGTCCTAGATAGCTAGCTGCCTGCACACTGATTAGATGAATCTCCCTACAAGGCTGCTTCAGCTGCAAACTCTGAATGGGAGGAAATTGTCTTCTGATTTCCTCCCATCTCTTTCTAAAGCTCCCATCTCTTCACACACTCAGGGCCTATGTGCTACTTTGGTCTGATCTATGTAGGTGCATTCAGCTGCTGCCCTAAAATCCACAAAATGAGTCTGTCCCATGGCCATTGGTCTAGAGCTTTCTCCAAAGCTAAGGGAAAATTATAAATGGTGCATTGATTAGGCTGGCTCAGGAGTTTGACAGTTCTCACCGTGGGAACTTGATGGAGAAATGTGACTTGGACAAGTGAATCTGTGGGTGGATTCACAGCTTAAAGTCCTTGCCCAGTTCCTGGACTTCTGAAGGGAGGGTTCTTGCCCTAGATCCAGTCCTATTCAACATTTTAACTAATGATTTAGGGAAAGTCAAAGAGGTGAGCTTGTCTGATTTGCAACCAACCCAATTCTGAAAAACAAAGGAAACGTGTTTGTTGACATTCTCGGTATTTTCAAAACCATAAAATCATGGCCCACAATAATAAATCAAGATCCATATAACTTCTCCCACTCGGTTTCAAAAAATAAGCCATAAAAGTAAAAGACAAGTTAACAGCTCTTATGAGAAAGAGAGAGGAATTTATGGTTTTAGTTTATTTTCAGCTCAATATGAATCAATAGTAGGAAAAGGATTTTTTTAAAAAAGACATGAACATTTCTAGCCTGCAGAGAGTCCAGATCGAGGGTGGTGAATGTTCTGGTATGTTCTGCCCTGGCAAGAACAGAGCTGCAGTTGTGAATGTGGTTCTGTGCATCATGGGTGAAAATTGACATTGACTCATTGCCAGGGTCTCAGGGAAGAGAAGTTAGTGTGATGATGTGTTTAACAACCTTGTCACCTGAGCAAAGTTGATTTTTTAATTCAGAGCAGAAAAGGCTCAGGCAAACAAAACTTCCTATCTTCACACATCTGAAGAGCTATTCACTCAGAAGGGTTGGAATTGGGGCTGGCAGGGTGAAATATTGTGCATTTTTCAGTGAATGAAACAAAGACACCCCTCCCCCCAAAAAATGGTCTAGAGAGAACATTTTGGAGTTTATTTCTAAGAATGAAGAGGGGTCCAGCAATCAGGTGGTCTGGCTTGCAAGGAAGTGAAACTGCCATTCTTGGAAATATTTAAGCAAAACTATCATCCAAGGGGATCATTAAGGTGAGCTAGACTGGACTCATTGGCTGGTTGGGTCCCTTTCTACCTTCACTAAAGTGTGTGTCTCCCTATAAGCTACACGGTTGGTTAAAAAAAAAAAAAAAAAAAAGATTCTTCCCATGAAGCAAGGCCATTCTTGATTACAGGGTTTCAAGTGGCATTGTTCCTGGCTAGAAACTCTATATAAGCTCTTGAAACCCATTGAAAGAGTCTCTTGGATAATGATAAGTTACTTACAGAGAGTATTTTATTAGGGATGATTTCAGACGGCAACTTAAATCAGCTTAAGGGAAAAAGGGAATTTTTTAAGATTTTAGCAAACATAATTTGTGTATCTCTGGAGAATTTAGGTGGAACTGGTCTCAGACACAAGAAGTCAGAGCTTCTCTCTCTAAGTTACAAGACTCTTGCTTTCTCCATTCACAACCCAGGGCTGCAAAGAGCTCTCTGCTGAACCCCTCCCAGCTGGTAAACCCGGGCGAGGGAGCCTTCCCTAGAGAGGATCTCCCATTGGCCCAGCCTGTGTGGGTCCTGTGGTCATGACCCGGACAAATCACTGTGGTCAAGAAAACTGGGGGCTATGTTTGGCCAAACCTGGGTTCCTTTCTCACTATTTTGGCCCAGGAGAGAAAGACCGTGATTAGCAGCCAACCAGAATCACATGAATCAGTAATGGAAGGGAGTTCCCAAGCAGATTGAACAGCAGCCATCGGGGGTGATGCTCCGTGGACAAGCTCTTTCACACACGTGATTTCAACTGATTCTCACCGGGGCCCTGTGAGGAACACAGAGCACACATTCTTATTTCCACTCTAGGAGGCCACCGGGCTTTACAGAGGAATTTGGTTGCACATTAGCCAAAACCCTTTGAATTTCTGAAACAACATGGCCATTTCAGGGCTGGATTCTTCTGAGTGTCCTTTACTGTCAACTGACACGATTCTTTCCCTGATACTCTACCAGCTCCAGATGTTGCAGCCCATGTCCCGACAGCAGGAAGCTTCCTTCTGAGTCTTCAGATAGCAGCTCGCGGGAGAAGAGCCCAACATCATACAAAAAGTCAGTCACGGGACTTCCTGAGGGACCTGCCTTCGGAAACACAGGCTCCCACCTTTCTTTCCCTGTATTTCCTGACTCTTTCTGTATCAGGAAAAATCAGAGACACCATTAGGAAAAGTATTCTGCTGTTCCAAGCAGAACTGCAACTGGCAACAGGTGGTATACTCATTCGCACACTCATCTCATTTTTTCCTTCATTTACCTGTGCATTCATTCATCCACTCACAGAATTGTATTGAATACCTGGGCTCTGAGTAGTGACTGGGCAAAGCAGTTTTAGTAAAGAGATTCCCAAAATGGAATCGTTTAAGAAAAGTACAATTTTATGCCTCTCATGTGTTCGGTGTGGTAGGGAAATTTGCTAGCGATGTGGGTGTCCTCGGGGACACATCTGCTTTCCAGACCTCGGGAAGGGGAATGAACAGAGGAGCAAGTTCTTCCATCACTAAGAATCTGAAGTGCAACTTCACCTCCCTTCTGCTCTTATCCATTGAACAAAAGCCTCACTGGGCCACGCCTGGATGCAAAGGAACCTGGGAAATGCAGCTCTAGTAAGGCAGCTAGGTACTCAGTCTAAGTTTATCGCAAGGAGGAAGGTGAGGATGGTCGTTGGGTCAACAGCAGAGTCAGCCCCCGTAACACAGTAACTGAAGCAAGATGGAAATTGTTAAGGGTCCTGTTCTCAGGTTGCTTGTAAATTAACGGGACAGAAATGCCTTGCTCTGTAGCAACAGTACCAGGTAATATGGCAGAAGGATTCAGGGGACTTTTAAAAGTTCAGAGGACAGGGAGGGATGCCTTGAACTGGAGGTGATCGGAAATGGTTCCTGAAGGAAGTGGCATTTGAGTTTGTTGGCCTGGGCTTAAAAGATGGCTACGCATCTGAAAATGGACAGGGGTGAGGGCAGCAAGCAGATCAAAGAGCAGTGACCAAAAACCAAAGGGCATGTTTCAGAGGTAAAGGAGGGATTCCTCAAATACCCGTCATGACACCCATTTATTATGTACATAGGTACATCCATTTATTTCTGTTCCCATGTGCTTTAGCATTTCCAGTTGCCAAGTCTTTATATTCTTCTAAGTCTTGGAAGATCTTGGAGTCATCTCCCGGTCCCTTAGAGCAAGAGAGATACACAGTCTAAGAGGACAGGCCAGGCTGTGAGTCAGAGCCCAGACACCTTGGGTTTAATAACTTAACAGCTTTGCAGCCTATACAGCATGCTGACCTATAGAATTTGTTTCTCATCTGACTTCAATCCAGAGGGACTGGCTAAAGTAAGATATCAGACATGAAAATGGTTTGAAGAATCAGAAGTGCTACAACATGGAAAACGTTTATGGCAACATGAAAATCTTATCCTTTCGGACTCCATTGATTCAGAATTTGGACAAGTTTTCATAAAGGATCTAGGCTGAAAATCATTTTTATGCTCTATATAACTAGGAATTGCAAAGCAAATTAACAGGGCAACCAGAATTGCTGGGAGATGTGTACAACCGAGGGAGGACAACCGCTTTCAATGTTGATGGTAGCACTATTGAAGGAGTACTGGACTTCAATTAATTCTGAACAATGCTCTTTTCATTCAAGTAGGTCTGGAGGGATTTTTACAAGGCAATAAAACTTCGTTAGCTATTTGTTTGAGCTTCTGAATATTCCAAAGAGTAAGAAAAATCACTAAGCAAATTAGTTTGGGGCCGCATACAGAATTTAAGTGTTTTTTTTTTAAAAAAAAAAAAAAAAAAAAAAAAAAAACCACCAGACAAACATTGGCCAGGATGTTCAAGAGGAGACTCTGGCACCAGTTTGCAGGTTGAACTAGTCTGAATAGTGAAAACTCTTTCATTTCCTGTGCCCTAAAATCCACATGAAAGCTCAATCAACCAGATAGAGACAGCGCATTCTGGTTAAGTGAGGGTGTGCTTCATTTCCCACCTTTTCCCCACCCCTACCAAAGTGCCTTTGAGCAGGTGCTAAACTCAATCTGAAACTTGGTGACATTTACAGCCTCTTTGGATCTTCTATAGAACCACAATGGAGAGCCCCTAGCACTGATTCAGAATTCCTTCTGTGGTAGACCATATGCTAAGTGCCTGATTTTACCGATGAAGAAACTGAGGTTCAGAGGGGTTTAGAAACTGGTTCACAGTCACACTAAAAGTGATTGGTGGAGACAAGACTTGGCCTCGGTGTTGCAGTGCAAAGTTCATGGTTTATAAGCATTCTTTACTGAACCCTATTCTGTGCCAGGCACTTTGTTAAATATTGGGGATATAGAAAAAACACGAGCCCGCCCCCCCCCACCGCCCCTCATCGGAAATGATTTGTTAAAATAAACAAATATTTAAAAACCAGCCTGTGAGATGAGCAGTCATTATAGATGTGGCCGTCACTAACTGGGATTCACTGCAGTGCCCTGAGGGTGCATTGAATATTACACTGCAGTAAGAAAGCAGAGTCAAAAAAAAAAAAAAAGTCTTCTTAAAAAACCTTTTTGATGTAAACTCATGCCTTCCCAGATGACGTGGCAGTCATCTTGCAGAGAGAGTCCCTAGCCCAGGGGGAGGGGCCCTGGAGCAGTCATCTTGCAGAGAGAGTCCCTAGCCCAGGGGGAGGGGCCCTGGAGTGAGGTCACTAGCCTCCCTCTGCAGTCTGGGGCTTGCGGGACTGTTGGCTCCAGCTGCATGCATTTCGAGAAGAGAGTCTGATTGATTGGAAGATTCGGAGACTGTTCTCTCACCTCAGATACCCTCTCCCTTCCCCAGCAGAGTCTCCCGTCTGTTGGTGGTCCACCGTTTTCTGGCTGAAAAGTCAAGTATTCTGTCTATTCTGGGAGCCTCCACCCACCTAGCCACTGTCTTCTCCTAGATTCTGTGATTTTGATGGAAGAGAGGCCGATGCAAGAAACATAGAAACTGCTGGCCCCAGAGGTAGGGACACAGAGAGCTGGTGTTACAGTTCCTTCGGAGGAAGGACCGTCCCTTGGTAGAGGGCTTTGGTCTCCTTTCGTGCCCACTTCCCCATCTGCATTCACTTTAGCCCCTGAGAATGGAGATGTGGCCATTGACGGCATTAGGTGCCTTGTCCTGCCCCGTTAGAGACTGATCCCAGACTCCTAGGAGGAAGGACCTTGCAAGTCATCTAGTCCAAGTCCCTACAGGTCTTAGGTTCCCTCTGCCACAGTCTCTACGTTCTGTGACAAGCAGCCCTGAGGCAGTCCCACTGCCAGTCTGTGTGTGGCCCGCACTGGCTGCTGGTGAACTCCCCTGCTGAGCTTGGATCGGACTGCCTGGCACTTCACTCATTGTTCCCATTCCATCCTCCCAGGCCAAGGCAGGCAACTTTGATACCTTTTAACTGTTCATCCTTTGGATAATAGATGATTTCCTTTTCGAGAACTAAATACCATTGCGCACTTTGGGGGCATGCCTGTAATCCCAGGGGCCCAGGGAGCTGAGGCAGGAGGATCACAAGTTCAAAGCCAGCCTCAGCAACTGAGCAAAGCCCTAGGTAACTTAGCAAGATTCTGTGTCTCGACCCCCGCTCCCCCCCAGAAAAAGGCTGGGGATGTAGCTCAGTGGTAAAGCGCTCCTGGGTTCCATCCCTGGTACCAAAAACAAACAAACAAACAAAAAAAGCAAAAAACAAAAAAACTATCCCAGTTCTTACAAACATTCCTTGAGTGACTTATTTAGTGATTTTTAGCCCACAGATCATTCATTTTCCCTGAAATGTGGTCCCACTGGCCTGTGTTTGTTTGAAAGTGTAGACCTGGGAGAGAAAGCAGCTCTCTAAAGTGGGCTGAGAAGTTCCCCGGCAAGGCTGGTGAGGCCTACTCCCATCCAGATTCCCAATTAACATTGTTCCTCGAGTCTTTTATTCCAAGCCGGGGCGTAAGGCCTCCAGTGAAACAGCTGATGCACACATTGTCATTAGCAATACTTCTGCTTTTAGGGATTGCATATTATTAAATACAAATCACCCAAACACACACACACATGCACACACACACACACACACACACACACACATATCTATTTGCTTGACAGAGCAAGCAAGGATGCCCCCAGAGGAACTGGCTGCTGGACAAGAGGGAAGGGGGCTGCATCCTTTGTAGGGTTTGTGTTTTTGCTGCAGGAGGCAGAGCAGGTGGAAGGGGAGCAGGGCTCAATTCTAGACCTTGATTTCTGGGGTGGGATCAGGGGCTGCAGGGAGGGGTGCAGTGTGCTGTCATGAGGTGAGGGCACCTCTGCCATCGGGGGTCCTCAGTAATAGAAGAGTTTCGCAAACAGGTCTGGGGGTGCCTCTGGTAAGAAAGAGGTCGTCATGCATTTCACAGCCACTACATGACCTTGGGAGAAGCAAGGCCCCTTGTTGACACTGGTTCCCCCCACCCCCAGCCTGATTCCCGGGATTTCTTTTTCCTTTTTCAGCTCAAGCTGATTTTCACTCTGGCTGTTGATTCCTTCAGTGTCACTGTGGATTCCAGGGGCTTCCTGGGGTGGGGGTGGAGGATGCGCATCTCCTCACCTTTGGCCGTGTGTTGATAGGGAGGCTGCAGGAATGGCCCATGTCCGTCACACAGCACATCCTGGCACCCACTCTCCTCTCACTCCTACGGCTGCGTCCATCTCTTTCAGACAGCCACTTGGTTTGTGGCCACCATCTCCAAGTCCCTCCCAAACCTTGTCTGAGCTCGATAACCCTTCATTCCAACTTCTGGACAGATGCCCTGACAGGTCCAAGAGACCCCTTGGATCCAGCATGCCCACACATAGCTCTCTTGTCTCCACAACCCAGCCCTCGATCAAAGTCCCCTGCCTGATAGGCACCAGCCAGGACACTGGCCACTGGTCACCAGCCATCATCTGGTCACTGCAGCCGGGGGACCAGGCATCATCTTCAATCAACCTCACCCATACGCCCAGCCCAACCATAGATAATCATTTCCTCCCAAATGGCTGTCTTTTCTTTCCTTTCTGTTTTCGGAATGCCTTTCTATTACGCTCCCCCCCCTCTCTTGGAGTCCTTTGATCTTTTGCTTAAGTTAATGTAAAAGCCCTGAGTCCATGCCCCGCCTCTAGTCTCTTTGAAAAAGGCAATCTGATTTTCTCCCTCCCTGAGTGACCTCCTTTAACAGCCGGCTGCCCTCCATCTTCTCCTACCTTTGTGTAAGCGTTTTTTTTTCAGGGTCTGGGATGTCAGAAGTGGTAAGGACAAGGATACTGTTACCTCTTAGGTCTCACACGCCACTGGGCAGAGACTCTGCTGGTGAATTTACACAAGTCATGGTGACAGCTCTATAAAATAGGTACTATCGTCACCTCCATTTCACAGATGAGGGAACTAGGAATTAGAGCTAGATGTGGTTGGTGGTGCCAGCCTGGAGCCCCAGCTACTCTGGAGGTTGAGGTCGGGGGGATAACTTGAGCCCAGGAATTTAAGGGTAGCTAGGTCAACATAGAGAGATCCGTCTCAAAAAACAATAACTACCAGGAAAAAAAAAAAAAAAAACAAGGAAATTGGGACTTGATGCAGTTCAAGACTTACCCAAAGTCACACAGCTGATAACTGACAGAGCTAGGGTATGAATCCAGGGCTCCATACAGATTCGCCGTGCATCCTCCCACGTGTAAAAGAAATTCCAATGATGCTGCAAAACCCATTTTGCTGTATCCCCTTGTCATTGACCCCCTTCCCTGACCACTTTTTTTGAGCAATTAGTTACCTCCCTCCTTTTGTCCTGCATCTCGTGCATCCTTGTATTCTGTCAACCATCTCTCTGCTGTCCTGGGCACGTGGGTGGTACGCAGCCACTCATCATGGCCCTCCCTCTGGAGCCATGCATGGCTGCTTCCTGCCAGCCCGGATATGGCTGACTGGACACGGAAAGGCCAGCTAACCCCCAAGGGCTAGTCCACAGGCTTGCGAGGCAGCTGTGATGCGTATGTCTCTCTGTCTCAATCGAGGACTCCTGGAAGGACCAGGGAAGTGCTTACTTGGATCTCCTTCACCAGCACTGCTGCAGGAAATTTGGTGGACTGACGGCCTCTAGCTACTGCCTGATGGACCCACCATGGTTTTGAATCTTCCTGTCTGCCCCCAGCCCACGACACTGGGGCGAACCAAAGCTGGCCCATGCTGGCCCCACTCAAGCTCGCTAACAGACTTCTTGGGAGGCACTCGCGGCCTTCTGAGGTTCCATACTGCACCCTTTCTTCCCTCTCCCCTGGTGTTACACTTGCACTGTAGCCTGAAGGTTCTCCCCACCCGTTCCTGATCCTTCCTCCTTTGTCTTTCATAAGCACCTCCCCCAGTATATTTCTGGCCCATCAAATCCTATTTTGATGTCTACTTCTTGGAGAAGTTAAAAGAACTAAGGCCAGAATCCATCTTTTTGTACTTCTTAGTACCTGGACTGACATAAAGCAAGTGCCCGGAAAATGGTTGAGGGAGGGAGGGAGGGAGGGAGGGAGGAAGGAAGGAAGGAAGGAAGGAAGGAAGGAAGGAAGGAAGGAAGGAAGGAAGGAAGGAAGGAAGGAAGGGATTTCCTGATTCCAGGAATTGAACGCAGGAGCACTTGACCACTGAGCAACATCCCCAGGCCATTTTATTTTTTCAATTTTTGAAGCAGGATCTCACTAAGTTGCTTAGGGCCTCTCTAAGTTGCTGAGGCTGACTTTGGACCATTTTTATTTCTTCCCCAATCTATATCACCTCCAGATCCCTCTCCCTGGCACACAACCTCACTCTCGGATGACTTCCTTTCCTCCCCACAGGCAAGGTAACAGCAGGTTTTGCTTTAATCATCAGAAGAAGATACAATGCCTTTTTTTTTTAAAATCAGGTAATGGATTATGGTGATCATAATGATGTGGGATGTCATCTTTCTAATTGCTTGATGAGTTTTTTTTTTTTAAGGAGAAATTCAAAATGGAAGGTTATTTGGGGTATTGAATAGTGGAAAGTTATTTGCAAGTGTTTTTAGAAAATGGGAACTTCACTGGAGTGAGTGCCTCTGCTGTCCCCACCCCAGCATGACTCCTTTTAGAGTTCTGTGTGCGACACTTATGTATCTACTTGCTTTCCTCCAGGGGATCTAAGAACCCTCATCCATCTACTTCCCTTGCCATTAATCCTTCATTCACCCACTTCCTGTGGGTGACGTCAGGGCTGCCCCAGCACGCAGGGCGTAATGGCTCCTCTCCCCACCATCAAGGGTTGGCAGCCTCTTGAGCTTTTGCGTGAGGCACAGTCCTGGGTGGATTCTCCTTTCTTACCGCAGTCCCTGGAAAATTTCCTTCTCCCTAGACTAGAGCATGAGGCCGACCCCAAACACTTCCTATGTGATCAGATCCATTCTGCCTTTCCTGGCAAATTTCCTTGAAAAAAGACTATTCGTGTCATGTTCTTGGCATGGGAGTCCAGGAAAGGGTTGTAATAAGCATCATTCCGAAGCCTTAAATACAGTCTTTGGTTCTGCAAATACCATAATGACAGACTTGTATTCTCAATGCTAGGAATTTTTGCAGGCACTAGAGCTTAGAAATGACCTGGACATGTAAGCAGGCTTTATTCTTATTTGTGTCTGGGATCCAAGAAGAAAATGGGGGCAGCGAGAGGGAAGGGCCAGTTCCTACAGCACTGTCATGGACGCAGGGAGTGGTATCTCCTCACGGCAGCTTTGTGCTGAGAAAGGGAGGAGAGTACACCTGTGGGGTCTCGGGGCACTATGTGAGTGCAGCAATAGATGATATTTTAGGCAATTAGTGGCCCTAAGCAGAGGCAGTGGCAAGGCCCAAGTAGACGGATTTGGAGGCTCCAGCCCACACTGAATTGGGGTGATGAATGCTGATTGTTGCTGCTGAAATCGGACACTTGGGTTCAAAGGATGTCAAGAGGTTCCCTCGCTGGGACCACAAAACAGCCAGCATTAAGCTTCCTTGAATATACCACCCCACCCCACTCTCCCCGTCTTTGTTCTTTGTGGGTCACGAAGGTGGCCCCCATCTAGTCATTCCTGAGGCCGAAGGGTAGACTTGTTTTCATGAAATCTCTTCCAACATTTGTTTCAAATCCCCACATGCCGTTATTTCACAGAACATAGATGTGCTTAAGGAATTTAAGTGAAGCTCTAATTTTTAAAAAACCTCATATTTTTGTTAGAAAACAAGAAAAGTCTAGTTAACAGACTTCCATTGAGATTCCTTTTAGTAACCTAGCGTGTTAAGCAAATTTCTCTATATCTAGTTCCTTAAGATCTGGATGAAAGGACATTTTTCTAAGGAGTCCACGTCAAAACTCTGAATTCTTTGTGAGCTGCTTCCTCCTTCAGGTTTTTTGCGGACAGGGACACCGTGTGGCCTGTGAGCCTGGCTGTCTGAGGTGGGGGTACTGTCAGGACTCTAGTGCTGGCACAGATACTGGCTTGGGTGAGGCCAGTTCCCAGGATGTCACTGTCATGGTTGGGATATCCAGTTTCCAGAGCACCTCCTTTTCTCACACGTAGCAAGGCTGGGCCTAGATTCCGTGAGATGGCCACACCCTTCCCCAGAATTGTGGCCAGGGAGAGGCAGACTGAGGAATCCCTGCCCCCGTGCAGATTCTTCTGGAAAGGCCGCTTGGTAACTGTCTCTACAAGGTCATTCATTGTGTGGCCTGATGATTGCTTAGATGGGGATTAAAAACTTATTGCTAGAAATAGAGGGAAGACAAGGATCAGTTTGGTCAGTTAGCAAATGACACCTTGGTGTGGGTACCAGTCTACTCAGGCTGCCGTGACAAAATGCAGTTCCTCCCTCCGTATGCAGGGGGTCTTGATTCCAGAACTCCCCTCAGATACTCAAATCCTCGGAGACCCAGGTCCCTTATATAAAACAGCATCGTATTGGCATATCCACGTATAATTTAAATCTTCTCTAAACTACTTACAATCCTGAATATAAATGCTATGTAAATAATTGTTATACTCTCTTGTTTCAGGAATCACAACAACAAAAACATGTCCGTATATATTCAGTGCAGATGATTTTTTTTCCCCCAAATATTTTTGATCCACAATTGGTTGAATCCACCCTTGTGGAACCTATAGATGTGAAACAGAAAGGACCAAACTCTTGGTGGTTTAAACAGGCACTTATTCCTCACAGTTCCGAAGCCTGGTACGTCCAAGATCAAGGTGCAGGCTGACCGAGCTCCTGGTGCCTTGGCTCTGTGTCCCCCTGTGGCAGAGAGCGGAAGCGGCTCTCTGGTGTCTCTTTTTATGAGGACACCTGTCCTCTTGGATCAGGGTCCACCCTTAGGACCTCATTTATCTTTAATTACTGCCTCACGGGTCATGTCTCCAAATAGTCATACTGGGGTTCGAGTTCTACATGTGGATTTTGGAGGGACACAATTCAATCCTTAGCAGTGGTCAAAGAACAGATACCCAGGGAAGGTAGCACCTTTTAAAGCTTTTGCTCCTAATCATAGCCTCAGGCCTCCTCCTCTGGCCTGCTCACCCCTGGGTTCCCTTCCTCCAGCTTAGAACCTGGCTTTGCTCCTGCCATACCACCCAGGGATAGTGGTCCTTAAGGAGTGGGGAGGACACAGGCTACCAGAGCTCTCTGGATGACAATCTGTCTGGTGAGCTCACCAGGGCCTAAATGTGCCTGCTTGTCTCAGGTCCTCTCTCTTGGCCATTGGTCGTGCCCTAGGATGAGGAGAGGTTTGGGGAGGAGCAAGCAGCAGCAGACGCATCTCATCTGTTACTTAGCAGAGGCGAGAACCCACCTGGGACAGAACCCAGCTGCCTCACAGAGCCTGCGCTTGGGCAGACTGCCTCACACACCTCCCAGGTTAAACCATGCAGGAGCCTGGGGGTGGGGGTGGCATGCCTGGCCTCCGAGGTGGAAAATGTGCGTCATAAGTAAAAGCCAGGTTCATCTGCTAAATACAAACAGGAGTGAATGAAACACACAGAATTCGCCCGACATGGCAAATAGCTATTTTTAGCTGCAGAGACGTCTGTGACTCCCCTTTGTTCCTCCTTTTTTCATCTTGGAAAGTACTAAGATCTCTTTTCCACTCCCCCTTTCCTTTGGTCTGCCCCCCCACACCCCCCCAGCCCCCACACTCGGCTGTGGCTGTTGCCTTTGTCTTACAGCCGGTGGCGACGCCCTTTGTGAGCTCAGGGGACATTCTTCCATTGTCAGAGGATCCAGCCACTCAGGCAGCCCCCACTCAAGATTTTATTCTTCCAGCGCTGAGTCACCGCCACCATCTTGTCGCGGTGCTTCCTGTAGGGAGACAAGGGAAGGAGGAAACAGGAAAGGAAGGGGGACCAGAGAGCTCCTGTGGCCCCTCCTGGGCCTGCAGGATGGGAGGCTGAGGCAGGAAAATCACAAGTTCAAGGTTAGCCTGGACGAATGTGTGAGATCCTGTCTCAAAATTGTACAAACAAATAAACAGGGAAAAAAAAAAGTTGAAGGAGATGGACAGTACTATTGCTCTGAGCAAGGCTGAGAATCGTGGCAATATGAGGGTGGGAGGGTCGTAGGGGCTGCAGGGTCCCTTCGGTAAAGGACCTGGAGTGGCATCCTTAACACAGGTCCAACAGATCTGGCTTTGAAGTCCCAACTCACTGCTCCTGGCATCCTGGGAGTTAACCAAACTCTCTGGGCCTTTGTTTTCCCATCTGTATAACACGGATCCCAATCTCTTTCACAGGATTATTGTGCAATATAAAGGACACCGTCCATGTGAAACACCTGGAACAGTGCCTGGCATAAGAGAGCTCTTTCCCTCTCACCCCTTCCTTCCCTCCTTCCTCCTCCTCCTAACAGGACGCCCAGCATCCCCCCCACCCACAAGCATCCTGTAAGCCTCAGAAAGGCCCAGCACGGCGCCCCGCCATCTCACAAAGGCAGGCTGTCATGCACGCGGAGGGACTATTTCTCACTTGGAAACAAGAACAAATGGGAGAAGATCTGAGGACAAATGATTACGTGTCCCTCTACTGAGGGGACCCAAGCACATTCATTTGTTTCCCTCAGCTCTGTTTGCAATGATTTATTAGTTAATTCTCACATCTCAGACTCGTGGCAAGATTTTAAATCCTCATTTAAAGGCAGCTCTTATCATGATTCAGCTCCATAATCATTATTCAATATTTATTATGTTCAGGGCCTCTTTCCAGACATCATATATTTACTTCAGTCTGGAAAGCTGAAG